TGACGCCCACAGAACAAGAATGCGATTCTACTTCTATGATGACGCCATTGAAATGTACATACAATCACTTTACTGTTGCATTTTGATATCTGTTTGTGTTCTTATGTTTTCAGCCGAGGTTCTTCTAGACGTGTCCAAAGAGGACAAATCACTAGAGCAGATCACCCCTGTCAGCAGATGGTGAGATATATACAGTACCAGTCAAAAGTTTGGACACACCTACTCATTCAAGGGTTTTTCTTTATTTTTTGTAGAATAATAGTGAAGACATCAAAACGATAAAATAACACATATGGAATCATGTAGTAACCAAAAAAGTGTTTAACAAATCAAAATATATTTTATATTTGAGATTCTTCAAAGTAGCCACCCTTTGCCTTGATGACAGCTTTGCACACTTCTTAATAAAAATAAAAAATAAAACTTGAATGAGTAGGTGTGTCCAAACTTTTGACTGGTACTGTATATAGAGAGAAAATAAGAGGATATATTTGTATCAATATGTAGTTATCTTGGTCCTGGTTGGATAGCTCAGAGTCTCTGCTCATTTCTATCCACTGTAAACTAATACTGACTTCTACTCGGCAGGTCTCCTATGGAAGAAGCCCCAGTGCCTATGGAGGCTATAGTAGAGGTACATGTGGCTGTACCAGACAGAGAAGAGGAGACAGACAGAGAGGTCACTGCCGAGGGCCTGTTGAGGTATAGTATTACTAGTCACCCATCTATCATCCCTGCACTACTATCCATTCTCTCTAGATCTCTATTATATTCTAACATTTACATTATAGTCATTTAGCAGACGCTCTTATCCAGAGTGACTTACAGTTAGTGCATTCATCTTAAGATAGCTAGGTGGGACAACCACATATCACAGGCATAGTAAGTACATTATTCCTCAATAAAGTAGTTATCAGCAAAGTCAGAGCTAGAAGGTGGGGGGGTGGTCAAGTGCAATTGTGTTGGTTCAGGAATTTTTTCGAGGTATATAAGATAATCTTTGAAGAGGAAGGGTTTCAGGTGCTTTCGGAAGATGGGCAGGGAGGGACTCTGCTGTTCTAGCTTCAGGGGGAAGCTGGTTCCACCATTGGGGTGCCAGGACAGAGAAGAGCCTGGACTGGGCTGAACAGGAGCTGCTCTCCTGTATGGGTGGGACGGCCAAGAGACCAGAGGTGGCAGAACGGAGAGCCCGGGTTGGGGTGTACAGTTTGAGCATAGCCTAAAGGTAGGGAGGGGCAGTTCCTCTTGCTGCTCTGAAGACAAGCACCATGGTCTTGTAGTGGATGCGAGCTTCGACAGGAAGCCAGTGGAGTGTGCGGAGGAGCGGGGTGACATGGGAGAACTTGGGAAGGTTGAAAACCAGGCGGGCTGCAGCGTTCTGGATAAGTTGCAGGGGTTTGATGGCAAAAGCAGGGAGCCCAGCCAACAGCTTCTAACTCAGTCATTACTGTACTGCACTACTCAATCTATTCTATCTTCTCTATATCTATTCTCTCTAACTGTGTAAAACTCTGGGCAGTGTTTTTCACATGGCTATCATCTCCCTCTGCTCCTTTTAGTGTGGTGTCCTCATACCTCCTGAGGTTTGGGAAAGTCACCTTTCACTCTCTGTTGCCCCTGGAGGCGGACCGTACAACTGCAGCCCACATGCTTACCAAACTGCTAGGTGAGAGCTGACAGAGAGAGAACAGAGAAAAATAGATATCACTTGTGGCGCTATATGCATGTATGCATTCCAATATTGTTTTACATAACTAACAAACATGCACGTATTTTCTGTGTTGTGACGTTTGTGTTGTGTTGTGTTGGTCCAGAACTGGTGTCTGCTAGGGAGCTGGCTGTATGTCAGGCTGAACCATACAGCCCCATCACCATCATCCCTGGACCACTCAGCGCCGTGCACGCCTGAGGAACACAGAGGATGTCTCCACCAGTGCTTGACTTGGACAGGAGTTCACCGCAGCTGAGTACCGGCACCTCAAATGTTCTACTGCTTTTGCTCCTGTTCCTCTTATAGAATATTAGCTCAAAAGTATTGTGGTGCTCCTGCACCTAATTATAAACAGTACCCGGCACCCAAAATGAGTACCGGCACCTATTTCAGTCCAAGTGAAGCAGTGGTCTCCACACACACATGGCCATACTTTTATAACAGAGTAATAATGTTCATGTCCCAAATATCCTTCATATGAGAACATCACCTCAAACTGTTTTGTAACACACACCCAAAAATGATGACCTCTTGGAGTTTTTAAAACATTTTTCTAAAAAAAAATTCTAACCTTTATAAGTGAAACCTTTTTATAAGAAGTGCAATTACTGAGGAGTTTGTATTAGTGAAGGGTAAAGCTGTTAATATTGAAACTTTTTATTCAAATTTGGTATTTATATTATTAATATCTATTGAAGAGAGTATTTATTATTAATATATTGAATACTGTATATTTAGCAGATATATTTTTATTCTAATTTATTTGTCAACTGTCATGCAAGTTGATATTGTTGACAGCAAAGTTTTTGTTTAACCTTTGGTGGTTTTTGTATCTTATCAATTGTGGTATGATGTTGCTCTGTTCTTACGTTGAAGCATTTATTGGAGATGTATTTTTCTAATAAAATGCACTTTTACTCATTATTAGTAAGCCTCAAATGTAATTCCATCTAATTAAATAGTACCCTTATTTCCCATTCATTTGGGATCTACTACTCAATTTAAGACCACATCTGAGATATGAAAACATCTTACTAACTTTGATTTGGGGCTGAACTATCCCTTTAAATTTGTGGTCAATCTATTATATTACAGTGGGATATAGCCTTGTAGTTTGCTACACTCAGATGTATTTTTGAGGAACAGGCTGCAAGGGGACAATAGGGGGCAGTAGAGGACCATGAAGAAGTCAGAGTCACCAACTCAACAGCAGAGAAGGTCTACTCTGGACTATGACCTCATCTCTCTCTCTCCTGGATTGACATCATTGTGCCTGGCTGGCAGAAAAATCACATCTGAACTCATGGCTGAATTACTCAATACAATTAACTGGTGGTTAGAAGGCGCGGGGGCTGTGCAGCCTGTATCACTGAGTCACACAGCACCAATGTAGCTTTGGGCTGCAATAAACAAAAGCAAAAGAGGCAGAGGTCAATGTTGTGGTACATGGGGTAATGGTGACCTCAGCCTGTTTCTGTGCTGAATGCAGACCAGACCAGGGGACAGAATAGTGAGTGTCCATGTTTGGCAGTGGTGTAAAGTACTTAAGTAAAAATAATTTAAAGTACTACTTAAGTCATTTTTTGGGGTATCTACTTTACTATTTATATTTGACTACTTTTACTTTTACTTCACTACATTCGTTAAGAAAATATTGTACTTTTTACTCCATACGTTTTCCTTGACACCCAAAAGTACTCATTACATTTTGAATACTTAGCAGGACAGGAAAATTGTCAAATTCACGCACTTATCAACCGAACATCCCTGGTCATCCCTACTGCCTCACATGCTTTGTTTAAGCAATATGGCCCGATATACACTGCTCCAAAAAATTAAGGGAACACTAAAATAACACATCCTAGATCTGAATGAATGAAATAATCCTATTAAATACTTTTTTCTTTACATAGTTGAGTGTGCTGACAACAAAATCACACAAAAATTATCAATGGAAATCAAATGTATCAACCCATGGAGGTCTGGATTTGGAGTCACCCTCAAAATTAAAGTGGAAAACCACACTACAGGCTGATCCAACTTTGATGTAATGTCCTTAAAACAAGTCAAAATGAGGCTCAGTAGTGTGTGTGGCCTCCACGTGCCTGTATGACCTCCCTACAACGCCTGGGCATGCTCCTGATGAGGTGGCGGATGGTCTCCTGAGGCATCTCCTCCCAGACCTGGACTAAAGCATCCGCCAACTCCTGGACAGTCTGTGGTGCAACGTGGCGTTGGTGGATGGAGCGGGACATGTCCCAGATGTGCTCAATTGGATTCAGGTCTGGGGAACGGGCGGGCCAGTCCATAGCATCAATGCCTTCCTCTTGCAGGAACTGCTGACACACTCCAGCCACATGAGGTCTAGCATTGTCTTGCATTAGGAGGAACCCAGGGCCAACCGCACCAGCATATGGTCTCACAAGGGGTCTGAGGATCTCATCTCGGTACCTAATGGCAGTCAGGCTACCTCTGGCGTGCACATGGAGGGCTGTGCGGCCCCCCAAAGAAATGCCACCCCACACCATGACTGACCCACCGCCAAACCGGTCATGCTGGAGGATGTTGCAGGCAGCAGAACGTTCTCCACGGCGTCTCCAGACTCTGTCACGTCTGTCACATGTGCTCAGTGTGAACCTGCTTTCATCTGTGAAGAGCACAGGGCGCCAGTGGCGAATTTGCCAATCTTGGTGTTCTCTGACAAATGCCAAACGTCCTGTACGGTGTTGGGCTGTAAGCACAACCCCCACCTGTGGACGTCGGGCCCTCATACCACCCTCATGGAGTCTGTTTCTGACCGTTTGAGCAGACACATGCACATTTGTGGCCTGCTGGAGGTCATTTTGCAGGGCTCTGGCAGTGCTCCTCCTGCTCCTCCTTGCACAAAGGCGGAGGTAGCAGTCCTGCAGCTGGGTTGTTGCCCTCCTACGGCCTCCTCCACGTCTCCTGATGTACTGGCCTGTCTCCTGGTAGCGCCTCCATGCTCTGGACACTACGCTGACAGACACAGCAAACCTTCTTGCCACAGCTCGCATTGATGTGCCATCCTGGATGAGCTGCACTACCTGAGCCACTTGTGTGGGTTGTAGACTCCATCTCATGCTACCACTAGAGTGAAAGCACCGCCAGCATTCAAAAGTGACCAAAACATCAGCCAGGAAGCATAGG